ATCCATTAAACTTATATTAAAAGTCTTTAAGAAAATCTTAATTATAAGCTAAGTACCTTTTATAGCTATATAATATATTAATAACCTCCTTTTTATTAAAGAAAGGGGCTATTATTAATATAAAGATTATTGCCGTTAAGTAAATTTTATAATGATTAATTATAAGGCAAAAGGGAGGGGAAGAATGTTTTTGCGCTATGCTTATGAATTAATAACTAGCTCTTAAACCATTTACCCATAAATAATGGCATTTAAATGCTATTACTACCTAGCAAATTAATCTTTACTAGCTTTAAGGTAATTTATGCTTAAGATTTTATTAAAAGGCGTTAATAAAGAAGGCATTAAAAAAAGGAAAGGTTATGCTTATTAATTAAATATTAATTATTATTAAAAGGTAAATATTTTAAAGGTTTAATTAAGTTATTTATATAGCTAAACTTATAATAAATCTTAATTATTTTTCCTAATACTTTTGGGTTAATTAAGTAAATAAGATAATTGCATTAATTGCTTGCTTTTGCCAACACTCTTTAAAGTATTTAATTAAAACGTATTAATTAAGTATATAAATTAATTAAAAGAAACGGTTTCTTATTAATACTTTAAAGTATATAAGCGCCTTATGCTTTATTAAGTATTTAGGGGTTTTTTAAAGGATTAAAGGGCTTAAGGGCGTTAAGTAAGTACCCTAAGGGGCATTAATTGCAAAAAAGGGCTTCTTAAGGGTATTAAGTAAGGGCTTCTTAAGGTTGCTACTTAAGGGCTTCTTATAAGTACTAAGCAAGGGCTTCTTATAAGTACCAAGCAAGGGCTTCTTAAGGGTCCTAAGCAAGGGCTTCTTATAAGTATTAAGCAAGGGCTTCTTAAGGGTATTGCAAGGAGGGCTAAGGGTATAAAGGCAATATAACCAGAAGTTAAGCATTTGCTATAAATTAATTAATCTTACTTAAAAGTTAAGCATTTATTATAAATTAAATAAAATTAAGTAAAGCTTATTATTAATTTATTTAATAATTAAAGATATTATAAGAAAGCTTTTAATAATTAAGAAAGGTTATAATTGCTTAAAAATATATTAAGAAAGGCTTTTTAATTAAGGCTTTTCATAATTATTATTATTAACAATTTACGTTAATAAATATAATTAAAGATTAAGTATTATTGCTATAAATTGGTTTTTAATGCTTAGTTAAGCTTTTTAACGGCTTATAGCATTATTATTAACATAAAGTCCCTTAATGGAATTATTGCAAATAAACAAGCTTTTAAAGGATAAGTATTACGGTTTAAGCTTTACCCATTGTAATTAATTAATGGGCTTTAGCCCTATAAGAATAAGCTTTAGCGTAGATATAAATGGAAAGTAAACCTTTTCCTTTACACTTTAAATATAAACCTTATTTAAATACCTTATAATAAATAACTTAAAGCTAGCTTATAATATATATTTAAAGTCTTTTTATATTATAAACTTATAATATAATTATATAAAATTTAATATAGTAAAATTTAAAAAGAATAATAATAACCTATTAAGCCCTTTTTTATTTAAAGAAATTCTTATCTTAAGAATATTTAATAACTTAGCTAATAAAAATAAAGGCTAAGTTTATAATAAATAAAAAGGTAATTAATATTAAAAAGGCTTAATTCTTTTATATATTTAATTAGCTAAGAACTTTTTATAATTACTTTTTACCTTATATTAATTTTATAAAAATATTTAAAAAATAATTAAAAAGCTTTTTAAAAAAGGTTTACCTTACATTTAAAGATCTTTTTAAGTAAAGGCATATTAAGCTTAGCTTAATTATGCTATAATAACGCTATAAAAAAGGAATAATAAAATTTCTTACTTAATTTAATTAATTAGCTTATATAATAAAGACTTAAAATTAATTAAATAAATATAAAATATTATTAATAATTAATAACTTAATCTTTATAATAAAAGCTTAACTTAATTATAAAAAGTAATTAAATATATTTAAGGCCTTTTACTTTACCTTATAATAATATAAAAGCGTTTTTAACGCTATAATAAAAAAGAATAATACTTAACTTTAAAATAATAAAGCAATAAATATTAATATTATAATAATTTTAATAAGTAAAATTAAGTATTTTATATATAGCTAATTTAATTATTATAAGCATAATTATTTTAATTATTATAAGAAAATAAAGATATAGTTTTTATTAATTAAGATTAATAAGAAAAAGGAGTTTATTTAAGGAAGTATAAAATTTTTTTTATAGGATAAGGCTTAAAAGTAATATTAACTTAATATTAACCTAAACTTAAAGTAAATTAACTATATATTAATTAATTTAGCCTTATGAAAATGCTTAAAATTTAAGAAATTCCTGCTAATAAAGCAAATTACTTATAATTAAGTATTAATTAATTATAAATTATATAATAAATTTATAGTTTTAAGGTTTTAAGTAAGAAAGCTTATATAAAAGGTTTATATTAAAGGATTATAAAAATACTATTAGCTTAGCTATTAGCTTATGCTTAAATAATTATTTTTTATTAGCTTGCTTTAGCTAATATATTAAATTATAAGGGCTAGGGTATATTAATTATAAATAATAAGCTAGGCCTTTAATATAATTAAAAAGCATTAAGGTATAATTAAATAACTAAGTAAAGAGCAATATTTAATTTATAATTAAATTATAATATCCTTTATTTTTTATTATATAGCTATCCTTTAGGGCTTGCTATAAGGACCTAAAAAAAGAAGATATATTATAATTTAAGCTTTGCTTATTGTAATTAGTTAATGGGCTTTGGCCCTATAAGAATAAGCTTTGGCATAAATATAGATAGGGAGTAAACCTTTTCCTTTGCACTTTAAATATAAACCTTATTTAAACACCTTATGGCAGATAACCCAAGGCTAGCCCATAATAATGAGATTTATTTTTTTAATACCTAACTATTTATGCTTATTAAGCAAGCATTAATTAGTGTTGGTTGGGTTAATGTATATTGGTTAATAGCAAACTAGTTATATTTAAATTGGCTATAATATAAAGGGTAGGTTGCAGCAAAGCTGCAGCCTTCCCTCGTTTAGCTATAGGCTAGCTATGATAGTTTGTGCGCGGGGCATGTAACCGCTAGCTGGCAGCTAACTGGCACCGGCTGGCAGCTGCTATTAATAAAACTAATTTAAACCTTACACCTCTAAATCTATGCATTGCATGTATGCACCCACTGCATAGGCATGCCACGCCCATACATATTATTCCCATAATTATATTAATTTTTAATAAATTGCATTATTAGGTTTAGGTTTTATAATTATATGCTTAAAGCTAGCGGTGATAATAAAAGTTATCTTAAGGATTATTCTTTTAATGATTATTATTATTATTTAAAGCCTATTTATAATTTTTATAAGGGTTATGCTTATAATTATTATTTTTAAAGTTATATATAATATTTATTTATACTTAATTTTAAGGCTAATAAAGCATTGCAAAGCTTATTATTAATTTATTTTAATCTTTTTTTTATTTAAGCTATGATAATTAATTATAATATTATAAGTTAATTATTATATTTTATATAAATACCTTATATTTAAAGAAAAACTTTTAAGCATTATTAATAAAAATTTAGCAATGCTTTAAATATTATTTATATTTATATTATATAATCCTTATAATAAGCAATAAAAAGGTTATTATTATAAAAGTTTTATTATATATAATTTATTAAAATACTTATTAAGTAAGTAATTAAATATTTTATTAATACTTTTTATATAAGGGTTATAAATTATAATTTTAAATTAATATATTTATAATAAGCTAAGTTAATTAAAGTTTAAATAAGTATTTTATTAATTATATATTCTTTAATAAAAGCTAATAGCTCTTTAATATTATTAATTATATTTATAGTTTTTTATAGCAAATATTATAAGAAGTAAGATTAATAAAATAAAGAAATATTAATAAAATAAGTAATATTTAAAAGTAAATTAATAATAATAATTTAATAAAAAGTAAGTTATAATTATTAAGAAAAAGAAGTTATTAATTCTTTTAAGTTTTAAAAGCTAAGGTTTTTATTTATTATTAAATTTTTTTATATTAATTAAAAGCATAATATATAACTTATATTTACTTATAATATAATATTATATTAACTTTAGTAATTATAATAATTATAAGCTTTATTTATTAATAAAATAAAGCTTTATTAAGTTTTATTAAATTTTAAAGAAAAATTAAAGATAAGTTTATAATAAGTTTATTTTTAATAAAATTTTATATATAATAAATATATATTTCTTAAATAATAATAAATATATATATAAATATTATAAGAAATGCTATTTAATTTATTTAATTTTTATAATATTTACTTAAAGAGTTTAAAAATATAAAAAGGCTTAAAGAAGCAATTATTGCTATATAGTGCTTATTAATAAAAAGGATATAATTTTTAAATTAAGGAAATCCTTATAAGGTTGCTTTTTTTATTTTATTAATTTATAATGCTTATAACTATTAATTAATATTAATAAGTTTCTTATATATATAATAGTTATATGGGAAGCAATTGTGTATTAGTATTGTTCTGTCTAAGTTTTGAGAGGCTACGTGCCCTGGAGGGGATAACTAAAGTAGCCTTCTAAGTGCGAGGGTCGTACTTGCCAACAGCCACGGCCTTTTGGTTGCTGGCCAGGGCTTCTGCCACCGTCCAGTCCAACAATGCCACGTCCAACGGCTTCAATTGTGTACGTATCTACCTGCACAACAGGACTCTGTCTTGAATTCGTTATGGAACACGACTTTCTGGTCTAATGTTCGGATAGTGTGCCGCCCTATCTCACCTTGACGGCCTCAGCGAGAAGGTTGTCTTTCCAAATGCCACTATCTACCAAGAGCGACTTGACTCATACTATTCGGCCAATGCAGCATTGACGCCATATTGTATGATACTGCCAGAGACCACGCATGATGTCTCACAATTTATGCGCCTGGTCTCCAGTCAACACTGTCCTTTTGGCATTCGAAGCGGCGGACACTCTGCATTCCGGGGCGCGAACAGCGTGAACGATGGAATTACTATCGACTTCAGTCAGTCATGGGCTCTTTGAACCGTGCTGCGCATTTTGACGCTGACAGCCGACACAGGCTACATGAATGGCACTACCTATGACACTGACACGACCATTGCGTCCGTCCAGCCAGGAGCCAGATGGGGCGCCGTTTACGATGCCCTCAACCCTTTCGGCGTAACAGCTGCAGGAGGGAGAGCTGACGTCGTCGGAGTCGGTGGCTTTGTTACTGGAGGCGACTACTCCTTCTACGCCGGAACAATGGGCTGGGCGTGTGATGCTGTCCACAACTTTGAGGTGGTGCTCGCAAATGGTTCCGTGATCGATGTCAACCACAGCGAGCACGCGGATCTCTTCCAGGCCATGAAAGGGAGCTCAGGCAACCTTGGACTTGTCACGAGGGTTGACATAAGTAAGCCCATTGGAACCCCTGAAAAGCCTTTTACGCGATGATGATGATGATGATGCTGATGCTTCTAGACACAATCAATTCGACCCAGATCTGGGGCGGCTACCTGACATACGATTGGGCCGATCGCGCCGCCATCTTCAAAGTGTATTATCACTTCGCCGAGGACTTCGAAGTTGACCAGGCAAGCGAGGCTATCATTGTCATGGCGTACGCAGCGGGTGATCTTACCTTGTGGTCAATCCTGAGCAACACACAAGCTATAGTTGCACCGCCTGCTTTCAGCAACTATACCGCCGTCGCGAACCTGTCTGACACTACCACTGTCGGATCTATCGCCGAATTGGTACCTCAATTCACAGGAGCGACGCCTCTTGGTGTACATTCGAACTGGTTCAGCGGTTCGATTTCCAACGCAGTCGTCACAGATTTCTTGGAGTTTTACTACCAGAATCTGGATGAGTATATCGGAAAGATGGAAGAAGCTATAACTCACAACTCCTCCTTGAGTGTGGTTGGCAACATGCAACCAATACCTCGCAAATGGGTAGATATCAGCAACGAGATGGGCGGCAACGTCATGGGCTTAGAAGGCTTAGTTGTGGACGGGCCGCTCGCAGCCTGGCTATTCTCAGTCACCGTGACAGATGAGGATGACCAGCCGGCAGTCTTGGTCCTGGCGGAAGAGTTTGCGGGCAAACTGGAAGCATATGCTGACTCGCTTGGTGCGAACAAAAATTGGCATTATTTGAACTATGCCTATAAGACCCAGGACCCTATTGCTGGGTACGGGGATGAAGCTATTGCTAAGATCAAGGCCGCCTCCGCGGCATACGATCCCCAAGGCGTGTTCCAGGAACTAAGACACTCGGGATTCAAAATACCTGTTTAGTGGATTGGACTACGAGTTGAGCAATGGAGACGAATTTGTAACAGAGTTAGTCAATCGGGAAATTTAGCACACATTGTTGTCAGCTTTCTCTTCGTCACATCACAGTGGCAACTACTAGTATGAATCTCCGTGTATCAATGGCAGTGAAGTCGGCTTGTTGGTTCACCCAGGTCTTGAAGTTGCTCGAGAATATAAATCCGGGCTTGCCTACCGCTAGGCTCCTTAGGCATTTACTCTTTCACGAACGTCTGCCCGCATAGTAATGTAGACGCTATCCAAAGGGGGCACAATGTTATCCGGACGTACTGGGAAAATGTAGTCGAGATCCTTAAAAAGCTACACGGAAGCAACTTTTTTTTTTAGAAACATTGTGACCTTGATGCAGTATATTCTTATGATGATATCCAAGAAAAGAATTATCCCCTGATCAGGAATCCTACCTATCATCCCTCACCCAGCACCCAGCAAATCCCATCGAAGTCTTTGTCGGATGTGTCCAGTTCCTCGAGTTGTCAGTCACGTCGATCAAGAACTGCGAGCAGTGATCGGTGTGGCCAGGGCTTGCAATCACGGTATCGAACGCCTTGCGCTCCTCATACAGCGCCCAGAATTGCTTCCTCCACATCATCGCACAGTGGTTGACGTGGTCACGAAGCGATGTCCAATAGTGGTCCGCCTCGGACATCTCCTCCACGGACATCCGCCGCGTCATCTCCTCGTCGGCGTACCCGCCCCAGCTGTCGTCTTCCTTGTACTCATCGAGCCATTCCTTGTCGAAACACGGCTCCGGCACCCAGTTGTTCAGCAGGAGGTCGTATTTGCAGTTCAGGGCTTTAGCTTCGGCGACGGAGTTCCCGCAAGATAGCCGATGGGCCTTGGTTGTGATGTTGTATCTACCCGTGGGGCGAGAGCTAGTCTCATGTTCTTCGGTAGTGGTGGTGGTGCTGGTGTTGCCGGCTCGTGGGATGTCGACGAAGAAGAGGATCACCACGGACCAGAGAAGAGAGGTTATGATGGCGACGAAGAGATATGGCAGGATGTTGCCCTTGCGGGTTTGGACGCGAACATATCGCCGTGCTTCTTCCTTCTCGGGGTCGTCCGTGTACTCCAGGAAGGGCTGTCGAGCACTGTCTGTCGACATTTTGAAGTCACGATTGGCGCTTGTAATTTGGATGTATTCTTGTGTTTTGGTTAGATCAACCAAACTGAAAAGATCAAGAGAGGAAATTGCCAGTTGCAGCCCATTTTGTCGAGAGTCCTGGCCCCGTGGACGCGGCTGTGCTCGTGTCTTGGCTGAGGCACCGTCTGGTGTTTCGAAACACGTTGGAGCCACCTCCGACTTCGTCTGAACAACACCACCACCTTGAGGAGAGCGCCAAGAAATTTCACATGAGACCAGGCCAGTAATAGCGCCATTTGGCCTGTTAACTAGCCCTCAAACACATGTTCACTCTATGTTGAATAGGGTCGGATATCGGATCTCCTCGAGATGCAACCAACATGGTTTCCTTGAAAGCAAGCATATTGGTATCATTGCGGTATTTAGTACTCAAAGAGAGGTGGTCCTTAAACTTCCACCTACAATCAAGATGTGAGATAACACCAAACTCTGAACGCGCACATGCCAATCCTTCAATTTACCGGAGTCACCCGTGATAACTTTCTCAAACCCTCGGCCCTACCTACAACAATGCCTCCCTGTGTTACCATCACTAGAGGAGGTGGCGGCTACCCGTGCTGATCTAGTCTGCCTCCTCCTCGGTCGCACCGACCTCCTGCACGGTGTACTTGGAGCGGCGACGCAGCCAGGCACCATGTACCCGCACACCGATGCAGACAGCGCAAAAAACGGCGGAGATGGCGGCAAGCATGCCGCACATCTTCTGCGGCCCCATTGCCTTCACCCAGGGCCCGCCCGCCGGGGTAAGGGCGCCGGCCAAGAAGTCCCTGGCGAATCCGTTCCCGCCTGTCGCAGATGCAGCGTAAAAGCCGTATGCTGCGACCATGTAGTCGATGGTGGAGGCGTAAATGGTATAATTGGCGATGCCGATAAAGAAGACGCCGACCGTGGTTCCGATCCACGCGAGATGCCCATACGACGGGTTGGCTGTTGCTGCAAAGATGGCCAGTCCAATCGAAAGGCACGGCGCTGTGTAAACGAGGACGTCCATGCGGCCCTCATACTGCGCATCTTGGCTGCTAGGGTTCGCGGCGCGAGACTTTTTACTACGCCGGTTGAAATAGAGCTGAAACAAATAGCCGACCGTATCTAATGTGAGCTCATGTGTCAGTGTTCGGAGTCGACAGATATGACATGCACAGTAGAGGAAGTAACTAACTTACAGCCCAGAGCGAGAGGAATGAACATGAGGCCTGTAGTCCCCTTGTTCAAACCGAATTGCTCGCCGTAAATGTGCCCGAAGACTTCCATAAACAGGAAAACGATTGCATCGCCACAAGCTGAGAGCGCAGAGAGGAAGTAGACAATCGGCTCAGTCTGGGAGAAACGGATGTTAGTCTTGCATACTGTCTTGGGAAAGTGCAGCGTTACTTACGAAGAGGAACTTGAAGGGTCGGAACACCGTTTGGCCAGACTCCTTGAGCTCAAAGCGGTCGCGGATGGAAACCCCCTCGGTGGGTCCGTATAAGTTCAGGTCTGAAGACTCATTACCTTCCTGTCGAGCATTTTCACGACGCTTCTTAGCATATCTGTCGAGGGCTGTCTTGTATGATGTCTCGGGTACAATCACAAGGTGCAAGAGCAGGACAAAAGTGCCGAATAAAGCAATCAGCCAAAAGCACCACTTCCAGCCTACCGCGCCGAGGTGAAGTTCCATGAAGCCACCAGCGATGGGAGGTAGTGCGGACCCCAGCATGCTTCCCCAAGCGATAAAGGCCACGGCGTGCTGCTGCTGATGCGGCTTATACATGTCTGCAGCGACTCCGAGCGTCAACGAGCCGCCGGCGGTCGCCAGGCCTGTGAGGATGCGCAAGACTAGGACGATAGTGAAATTCGGTGAGAATGGGACCGCAGCCGTTAATAGGATGACAAGAGCCATGGAAGCCTGCATCAACCACTTGCGGCCCAGCTCCTCTGACCAGGGCGCCCAGAGCTCGCAGCCGAACGCGTAGGATATCAAGAAAGCCATGTTGCCGTACGTCGTCTTCTGCACGGACACGCCGAAGAAATCGGCCATGCTGACTTGTGAGTTGGCATATAGCGACCCGTTCATATTCATTGCGATTTGGACCTGATGTATTGTCAGTAGGATGTTCTCGTCTAGGTGCACAGAATTTTGGTCGCTAGAGGAGGTGATAGAGTGCTGCTGAGGCTCACTTGACTATAGTGAGTGTCTTTTAATGGGACTTACCATCCAGAGAGCAGTGAGAATACTCCATTTCAAACTTGTTTTGTACGCATACGCCGTGTGCTCTTTCGCCTCCTCTTCGGTGACGATGCGACGTCCTGTTCCGTTTTGATCGCCATATTGTGAGAACTGATCGGGTAGCGGCTGAACGACGACGACTGGCTGGATGGGTCCCAGTTCAATCTCTTCGAAACCCTTCTCCTGTTCCTGTGAGGCCGTTGTGACAGCCGGGGTGTTCTTGTTGGCATTGTGGGCTTGCTGGGCCGAGGATGCAGGAAAAGGTCTAAATGGTAGATCTTTTTCTCTGATGATAAGGAGAAAGACGTTCACTTGCTCGTGTAATCTGCTGATGGGGGACATTAGAATAAGTATGAAGCTCTGGAAGCGTCCGGGTGATACTGGTGATCGAGCGTTTGTTTGAAGTAATCATTAATAATTCCGGGAGGAAACTCTTCTTTGACATTTGTCCCATCTTCTTATATGACCAAATTAATTCAATTCTCTACCTAGGTGGCTGTTCGAGAGTCCGGCCCGCTCTTAGTCCGTCGAGCTGGAGTTAAGACTAAGAGCGCCGTCAACATGCTAGAGGCTGGAGGGCCCCTAAAGTTGCAAGATTAATACGGAAAGCGGACCAAGCGTAGTATATGTATTTAAGTTTTTATTGTGAGTGGAATTCAAACTTAATCTCCAAAAGGGCGGAATTTATGCAGTAATTCGCTCAGCTGATGATATCAACTATGTGGCTAAGCTTGCAACTTATCTAGGTAGCTAAGTGCCTCCGTTGCACTTTTTCAACCACCACTGGGGAGTGAATAGAGCAGCACTCTTACGGGTCAGCCTGTCGGTTTGACGTGCCGGCAGGAATTTAATCATAGAACATTTCGGTTTCCGTTATCACCGTCCCGTTCCTATTAATGTGGTAGTCTGGTCCATTAAGTTGCTGCCACCTGTTCATGCCATTGTTTCTCTCGACCTCGGGCTTTTGGCTCGGTGAAGACGGAATCTGCTGGCTTCATAGCCACATTTTGACGAAGAATGACCTCGATCACACATGGTGCGAGCTACTAGTATTACTTGCACTTACCATACAAAAGCCGTAGTGTCATTTCCACCGATTGACCCATGTCTATCGGAATCTTGGGAATTTTAGTCCTTGTAGTGTAGTCGAATCCACACAACCAACCCAGATTTCACATCTGTTTCACCAAAACATTCTTGTGCCAGACACATGAGCTGGCATCGATCCCCGTCAATAACTCTCGGGGTGCACCGCTGCCACCTGCACGGGCACTCATTAATTATACGTTTCGTGTGCTTGTCACTCAACGAGAAGAGTGGCGTGGTATCAGAGCTTTGTTTAGTCCAGTGCTCAGCTCGCACAAGGGCTATTGTCGGAGTCTTCCGGCCAAGTGCTACCTGCTTCAGTGGGTAGGTAGTGTCCGAGCCGAAACAATATGTTTGCTTTATGTCTCTCTTTCCCAGTTTCCCAGTTCCTCCCTGTTTCCGCGTGCAAATTAGACTACAGGAGACAGGGGCGAGCCGAGAGTCCAATGTTATCTTCTAACACAGACTCGTCGTGGGGAAGCCATGACTGAGGCCTGCTTGACCTGCCCAATTGCCTTCTAAAGCGGTAGCATCCACGAATAGTGCCAGGACCCAGCTTCCTGTTTAGGCAGGTCGTTTGTTGATTGGGCGTTGACGATAGAATGCCAAGTCGACAGCGCGTACGCCAAGGCCGGTATTCATCTAAAGCGCCGGGCGGCACAACATACAAATATCATGCCCCCTAATCACCTATCATCAGTCAGTGCATCCCTCCTCAGGTATCGATCTTTTACGCCTGATCAATTCTCCCTCTTCGCCATGCATTCAGCATCAATTTGGGCCGGGCTTCTGGGCTGCGTGGGGCTGGCGAGCGGGTGTCTCCTCCCTGAGGAACGTGAGGGCTTGCCTCGCATCGTCCCAAGGGCGGCGGCAGCCGACAATGGGGCCCCTATTGCACTGGGGACAGATTCAGCGGCGGCAGTGTCGCTCCTCAGGGTCTGGGAACCCAAGCTTCCAGCGCCAGCTTCTCGACGATCTTGAGTGCCGCAGAGATCAAGAGCGGCTTCGACGGTCTGGCGAACACTTACGGCCTGGAGACTTTCACCACTCCCTACAAAACCTACGGGGGAGCTACGATCTTTGGCGGGAAGGTCGGTGGCACCGGTACCTGTAACAAGGCATACCGGGTCTACTTCAATGGTGGGATCCACGCGCGAGAGCGCGGCTCCTCAGATGGAGTGCTCTACTTCATTTCGGATCTTCTCTACGCCAAACAAGACCGGGTCCGGCTTGACCTATGGCTCAAAGAGCTACACCAACGCTCAAGTGAAGACTGCCTTGGCTGCAGGCATCGTCTTCGTACCCCTGAGCAACCCAGATGGCGTGGCTTACGATCAGTCATCGAACAGTTGCTGGCGCAAGAACCGCAACCCGGCTTCTTCTACGGGGAGCGCATCGTCAGTTGGTGTTGACTTGAACCGAAACTTCGACTTCCTCTGGGATTTTACCAAGAAATTCGCATCGACTGCCCAGTCAAGTGTGGCCTCCACCAGCCCTTCGTCTGAGACATACCATGGTTCGTCATTTGCTCATGCATTCCGGTCACCAAATCCTACAATTTCGCTAACACCTGAGTAGGAACCAAGGCCTTCTCCGAGCCTGAGACACAGTCTATCAAGTGGGTCTTGGATACGTACTCAGCTGTCCGTTGGTTTGTCGACCTGCACTCGTATGCAGGAGATGTACTTTACAGCTGGGGAAGCGACACAAACCAGAACAAGTACAGCTATATCAACTTCCTTAACACCACGTACGACGGCTACAACACGTGAGTAATCCCTGCAGTCTATGCATTGCTCTTCATATTTGGTGGACCTTTAGAATCGAGTCACATTGGAATGCGTCGCAGAGTGCTAACATCTCCCAGGCGTGGAGTCTTGACGGACACTCCAGGCTCCGGCAGGGCGTACGGAGAGTACACTCCCTCAGCCGAGCAGACCGCCAACGTCCAGGCTGCAGACCGGATGGCCGCTGCCATGAGCGCATCCAGAGGCCGTTCGTACACTTCGATGCAGGCGGCCGCCCTGTACCCAACTTCCGGTGCAAGCGACGACTACTCGTACTCGCGGCACTTCGCCAACCCGAGCCTCAACCTGGTGCACGGTTACACTGTCGAGTTTGGTTTCGGCAACTCCGCTGCCTCGTGCCCGTTCTACCCGACTGTGGCTCAGTACAACACCAACCTGCGGGAGGTCGGAGCCGGCTTCATGGAGTTCGTCCTCGCGGCCACGGACCTTGGTCTGGGAGGTGGTTGCTGAAGCGGAGACGAACTTCTCGGGGCGATGGTCATGACAAAGTGTCGGGCAAACCCATTGGCGGACCGTATTGTACGGCTTCTAGGTTTAGAGAGTCTGTATGCGGTCAAGCTTGAGCAAATACGAGTCTAAATTGAAAACCTCGAAATATCCAACTGTTACTGCCAGCGGCATGCCGAGTATCATGAGTTCGTCACCTTTCAAGGTTCGCAATCGAAAGTGCACCTGTCCAAGACTGTCGCAAGTTAGTCAGTATCAAGTCAATCACACTTTCCCCCCGGTATGATCGGACTTGGTCTGCCTAGACAAGCTGTGCCAGTTGCCGCTTGCAAGGACTCCAGAATGCGGCATGAAGAACTCAAATTCAATGACTCCGGGGTGCAATGAAGCACAAAGTATACTTGCACAATGACTATGACTCACTCATAGGCCGTCGCAGCAAGGGAGCCCTCTGAGAGCCCTAATTTAAGTTAATGAAGCATATGAGTTCTTATTCTGATGGAGCAGATGAGTAGAAGATGATGTGTACACCCCATGACGGGACCAAGAGATCTAACAAAAGAACACGGGAGAGTGCAACAAATGGTGTTGAGTTAGTGAGCGCAAAGAGATGTCGAGCCAGGTACATTTTGACCTAGCCTCAACACAGCCTGTACATAGGTTTTCGTACGGGAGAAGCACTACATGCAGAGTTGGACCATATGTACAGAAATGTACATGAAGCTTACATAGCACGTTCCTGACTAATAACCTTATGCAAAACATGCTTGTGCTTGCACATCAATCTACGCTCACTGAGAGCCTCTACGAACAGACACTAGATCATTACCGTGATAGCTAGATAAGGTCAAGCCATGAAATTGAAGGCTGATAAGTCGCCATTTCGGGAAACGGGCAGAGAAACACTGAGCGCTTCCTGTGACGCTTGCTGTTGGCACGTTTCTCTGCATTTTTGACTCCGGGTTTGCTCCGCAATTTACCAAGTCCTGAAATATTGTCCCAAGTCAGGTATAAGCCAGTATCATGCCGTAGGTACAAATTGTAGAATCAGGAATCCACCAGAATATCTGCATATTCGAGAAACGAATATGGCATGAGCCCACAGACACTTGAACATGATCTTGATCCATTGCAAAATGTAGCAAGACCCTCATGAGCTGGGACGAAACCGGGCGCCGTTAGGTCAGCGGTTCCTCGAGAGGCACTCGGCGCAGCCCCGGACAAACCTCGTGATCGAAAGGCTCACGGACCGAGGCTTGGTCAATATCGTCTGTTCCTCCGGGGAAATTCGACCCTCAGGCCCTAGGCTCTTGGAATGCAAGGTTGACAACAGTCAAGAGCACATCATGATTCAGGTGCCGGTGAAGCCACCGGAGCACAGCGCAGTTGATGATCAGGCACCTTGGCTTTACGAAGGGTAGGGTGTCAGAAAGCCTTTGTTTGGATTTCAGTGCTCGAATACGCGGTTGACAGACTCTCGTGTTGCCAAAGACACACAGAGTCTACACATATTTGCAACTGGGCGAGACGCGGACGTGGACAGACGCGATCCCCCCTGTCGATCCTGCTCAGGGCTGACCCCCGTTTGCTGCCCAAGCGGGCTGCTTCCGATTTTCGAAAAGCGAGCCTTGTAACCAAAGTTCGAACCGGACGCTCAGCCGGTATGGATTGCCACAGCACCCAGTACCTGGGATCTACAGGCATTGCCAGAGCACAACCAATCAATCGATGGTTTCCAGTACACACTTTAAATGGCATGTCAATTGGACTAGACTGCCCACCTGTGGAATTCAAGGAACAATCGATCAATGTGGTGGTGCTGTTGAGAGAGCTGCCCCCAGACGCACGCACCTGACTCAGGAGCGGACAGTGCCGTTTCTTGACTGCCGTCGGGGTTGAAAACGGGCACAACTCTGTTTGTCAGGGGGTTCTGCAATAAGAGGGTTGTATTTGATTTCTGGTTGGTGTTTTGTTTAAGTTTGTGCCGAAGGGTTAAGGGGCTAAGGACTATTTATTAATGCCCATAAGGGGTTTATATAATGCTCTTTCCTTATAATTTGCCCTTTTTAAAAAATAGCAGCACCTTTATAGCTAATAAATAATTTTAAAAGATATATTTAATAAATTAATTATTTTATATTTTATTTTTTAAATAAAGCATTAAGCTTAAATTATTTTTATCTTTTTTATAATTTTTATTTTTATTTTTTAAAGCATTAAAGTTATTTTAAGGTTTATTTTATAATTTATTATATTCTTTATAATTAATTACTTTTATATTTTTATTTAATTTAAAGTTATTTATAAAACTTTTTAACTTAAAAATATATTTATTATTAAGTAATTTAATAATAATATTTATAATATTTTAAATAATAAAAAAGGCTTTAAATTTATTTATAATTATTTTAATAAATAAAATAAAATAATTATCTTTTAAGGTATTAATTTATTTATTTTTCTTAATTAATTAATTTTTTAAGCTAATAATATAAGTTAAGTTGCATTTAAAATATATTTTATTAAAACTTTATATTAATAATTTTTAATTATAATTTTATAATTTAAGCTTATTATTTATTAATTTTAATAATAAATTTAATATTTTTTATTTTATATTATTTATATTTTTATTATTTTATTAAAGGCGGGGGTATTATTAATAGGGAATATAAATTAATATTAATATTATAACGGTACGGCTCCATAATACTTATATACTGCTGGGTGTTTCTAGTAGCGATTGGAAATTACTAATCTTTTGGCCGAGCGGTTTATTTGCCAGCAGTAAAATCATAATAATTTCCAATCACACGGCCAGGGTTCGAGCCCCCTGGTTGGAAACTCTTTTGAATAGATTTACAGCTGCCGCGAAGGTCTTATAATAGGTGCCTAAGCAAAAGATTATGGGTAAGTTAGATCCATGCCGTTTAAGTTTTAAGCTACTTATAAGTGCGCATACCCGCTTTAAAGGCGTTTAAAAGCTTTATAAGGGCTTTAAGGGGGGTAATATAACGGTATGGCTTTATAATACTTATATATTGCTGGGTATTTTTAATAGCGATTGAAAATTACTAGTCTTTTAACCGAGCGGTTTATTTACCAGCAGTAAAATTATAATAAATATGTTTTATTATAAGTAAGGAAGGTTATATAAATTAAAGGATTATTATATTTTTAATTATAAATATAATAAGTTATAAGGATATATTAAACTTTATTTTCTTTAAGTTATATTATAAACTTATTATAAATATTATATTAAATGTTTTTTAATTAATTTTCTTTAATAAATTATATTTTTAATTTAAAATAATATAATAAAAATAATAAAAATATTATTAAAAAAGTAATTATTAAGGGAAAGTAGTTTTTTAAATAAGTTTTCTTTAATTTTATTATATATAAATTTAAAAGCTTTAATATTTTTATTAAAATTACTTTTACTTAAGGATTCTTTAAATTTAAATTAAGATTTAACTTAAGAAAAAAAAGTATTATAATTTATTATATTAAATAAGTATTATAAAGGATATAATAAAGTTAAGGCTTTTTTAATTAATTAATTTATCTTTATATTTATATAAAAAAAGTATTAATTAAAGTTTTTATTAATAATGTTTTATAGTTTATTATAAATATATATTTATTATTTATATTTCTTTTTTTATGTTTTTTAATAAATTGCAAGAGCTTTTTATTATATTTTTATTTTTATATTAAGTAAATAAGACGGTCTTCACGTCCAAATGGCAACAAGGGCACAATGTGATAGTGAAGAATGGTTGATTTACAACTAGGTTTGCCTAAGAAAAAAGAAAGGAAAAGGAAGAATTGCCGAAAGGGCAGATCAGAGTGGTTTTGGAGGCCAGTTGGGCTGATAAGATAAGCCAACCAGACGGGCCCAGAGGGCCCCTGCGCATGATCAGCCCTACGGCCCTGATAGTAAATAAACATAAGGAAATTAATAGCTTTATTAAGTATATTAATTTTAATATTATTAAAATTAAGAATTATTTATAATGTAATATATAAGTTTTTTATAGTATTTATTAAGCCGATTTAATTATTTTAATATATAATATTATTAATGTTTTTAATTTAAGGCTTTAAATTTTAAAAAAGATTTATAGCTTAACGCTTTACTTTAAATTTATATTATTTAAATTTATTTTTAAATAGCTTTTTACTTTTATTTTTTATTATTATTATTATTATTAATAATAAGCTTAAATTGCAAGGCTGTTTTAAATATATTTTTTATTAAATAAAGATAAATAAAATAAAAAAAAGGAAGAAGTTTATAATTTTTAAAAAAGAAATAAAAATTATGCTTTAAATAATATTATATTTATTTTATTTTTTTATTTAAAGTTTTTAAGTAAATATTATTATAAGTTATTATAATAATTATTATATTATATTTATAATAAATAATTATTTATAAATAAATTTATTAAGTAATAATTAAAACCCTTCTTTATAAAAAGCCGATTTTACCTAAAATCCGCCCTGCTGCCCGCGCAACACCTTAAAACCACATTTTAACGGCAGAATCCATCTTAACGCAATTAATTTAACCTTATCATAATAACTGCAAACTCCTGCAGTAATAATATAAAAGTAATTTTAATAATAATAAATAAAGACAATGCTAACTTAATATAAAGCCGCCACTATAAATATTATAACAAAAAAGCTTATAACGTTAAAATAAATAATTAATAAAATAAAAATAAGGTTAATATAAAGTATTAAGTAAAAAAATAAAATATAATAAAGTCTTTAATAAGCTTATACTTAAAATCTTTAAAAAGGGAACTTAAGATAACTTTAATAAAAACTAAATAAAAACTCTTTATTAAGTCTTAATAATTATAATAATATATTATAATAATTAAATAAAGAATTATAAAATAAAATACCTTAATAAATTAATTATATAAGTGTTATGGGCTAGCCTTAAGTTGTCTGCCGTAAGGTGTTTAAATAAGGTTTATATT